TGCAGCACGGCAGGGAGGCACTGTTGCAGCAACGCCGCCGCGCACTGCGCGCACACCTCCTTCTGCACGCACGCCCTCGACAGGCGCAGCACGTAGTCGGTGAGGCAGCGCAGCAGCTCGGCGCGGTGGGGGCCGTTGGAGCCGCAGTGCGACGTGACGAGCTGCAACAGCTGTGCCGCCGTGTCGCACTCGCCCTGGGCGTGGCCACTGCAAAGGCACCACAACAGCCTGGTCATGAGCGACGCTGCGTCAGGCACCGCGCAGTGACGGCATGCGTTGTCAACGGCAGCGAGAACCAACTCGGACGGGGGTGTGCAGCGCGGCGCCACATGCAGGAGTGTGCATACCGCGTGGGCGCCACAGTACACTGCAAGAGGACCGCCGCGCGACACGACAGTGAGGGCGCGCTGCAGCCAGACAGTCGCATCGCACAGAACAGCAGATGCGAGGGACGCGGCACATGTCGACAGCAGCCGGTGAACAGCATACACCACCACCGCAAGTAGTGTCGCAGCGTCACCACTACCATCACCAATGGCGCCAGCAGCAGCAGCAGCAGCAGCAGCAACACTACTGGTGAATGTTGCGTCAAGAATCGAAAGAAAGGCTCTGCACACGGATTCCTGCGCCGCCCGCCCAAGACACAAGGCAAGGAGGTCGATGAGCTCCACTGCTGCAAGTGGGTCGGCTACGTGCTGCAGCAGCTGTGCGAGCGGTGTTAGGAGACGCCCCGCCGCATCCGGCAAGTTGTCCGTAAGCGATACATCCTTCTCGTCGCATACGCGGCAGAGGCAACGCAATGCAGCCATCCACGCCCGCCAGTGCGCCGAGTTGGGCCCCTGTTGCAGACCACCAATGCAGCTGCAGAGGGACTCCGCCGCAACACCCAATTGGCGTGGGTTTGCCTCTATGAATAGTTCCAGCACAGCCCCAGCATTCGCGGCAGTGTCACCTCCGGTGCACCCCAGCGGCACGACGCAATCTTCCTGCAGCGCGTCCAGCAGCGCAGCGTCGTCGCCACGCTCAATCGTGACGGCATGTGTCATGTAGCAGAAGAGAAGCGACAGCATCTTTCCGCTGTCGATGTTGTGCGACACCTCTGGGAATGTCTGTATCACACTTACGAGGCATTCGAGGGCGCTATCGATGCACGCCAAGACCGACACCATCTCCCCAACACCTTCTGCAGCAGCATTCGCCGTGTACACAGCCTGGAGACACTCAAGGAGGCAAATACCACATCGAAACACGAGGCCCGCAAAATCGATCTCACTAATAAGGTGGTGTGACACGTCCATCAGCAACCGGTACTCCTCAACAACAGCCTCGCGGAGTTCACCCTGGGCGAAGGCCGCCAGCTGCCCCTCCAAGCTACTTACCACAAAGCATCGAAGTGCCCCTGAAAAAATAAAAGAATTCATCGGCCTCTTTGCCTCGTCAACATCCTGCTGTCTCGGCCGTCGCCGCATCAAATGAAGAATCACGCGGAAGCACAACACACGTGCCTGATCCCCGCCACACATCGTTGCCCACTCCAACAAACAGCGTGCCACAACCGATGCCATGTGCCACCACAATGTGGCGTTGGAAGCGCACATTTCCGACAAACGCAAGATGATATCGTGGTGAGTTTTCCCCAGGCCTTGTTGCCGTTGGTCGACGTCGGCAACAATCGCCGCCACGTACTCCTCCATGAATGCGTCCCAATGCGCTGCAGGGTACTCGAAGCAGATGATCTGACACAGGCAGCGGCATAGTGAAGCACGCACACGACCATCGGTGGAGGCAGCAGCGTCACAGCGCAGGAACGCGAGCAGCGCACTGAGGGCACCGACCTTGTCGCTGAAGCTGCCGCCCTCACACCACGCCCGCTCCGTCATCAGCGACTCCAGCGCCAGCGCCGCCGCCAGCCGTACGCCGTACGACACGCTGCCAGTCGCCACCGCTAACTCCAGCAGGACATCTCCAATATTCACCGCCGAGGCGTGGAGCTCGATGAGACCCAAGTCTGCCGCTTTACGCTCACTCTCCGTGAGATCGGAGCGCAGCCTGCTGACGCTTATCAGGTGCGCGACTTCCCCAGTCGTACACCAGCTCATCCGCGCAGACACACGGACGCGCAGCAAGGCAACAACACCTTCAAAATAACACCCCCCACCGCACATAAAAACACAAATAAAAAAGGAAAGAAACAGAAGCGCAAGTCACTCTCTTTTTGTTTTGTCAGTAGTTCTTTTTTTCTTTTTCACTTTTGAAACAGAGCACAGACAATAAACAAATCGCACGAGGCACACCAAAAATGAGCTCTCACGCGACGAAGCCGAAGCAGGCATTTAAATGTTTTCAGTATACAAGCAAAAAGCCAGCGAGTGGCATCATGCGTAGGGCCTGACCTGCAGCACACGCGTGGCCCCTTCCAGCGCAACACTGAAGTCGCTATCCAATTGCGCAAACCCTTCCTTTATAGGGGTAGCGTTCAGCAACGCAATAGCGCCCCACATCTCCGACGGTGGCACCTCCAGGAGTAGTGACTCGGGCCACGCTATGCACGTGGTTAACTTCAAAATCTCCACCACGTACGGTTTTCCTGGTGGCGAGGAACTCTGCAGCCACAACACAACCTTCGTTTCCGCGTCCGACACGCGCACTTTCGTGAGCGAGCCCAGTGCGAAGATGAAGTCATCACACGACCAAGCCCACTGCTCCCCTTCGTCGTAGGCGGAGCCGTAGACCTCCCGTATCGTGAAGAACGGTTTGGCATTGCTGAGGTACACTGACACGAGATCCCGCGCGTAGGCACGCGTCTCCAGCGCGTTTTTCAAGACACCCTCTAAGGTTCTATGGAACAAGAGGCGGATGTCATGGTTCGCCTCCTGTGTGGAAAATGTGCCGTGTACCTTGAACCCGCCACCAGTCCATGACCGGTACATGTTTTTCTTCTTGTGCATCAGCACATTGACTATATCCTTGCCGTGTGCTGTCATCTTTGTTCGGTAGTGAGGTTTAAGATCCGCCACAACAACGGCCGTAAATCGTCCAAAGCCGCACTGAAGCAATTTCTTCTCCATGCCGACCTTGTCCCAGCCGCCCTTGCCGCTGTACAGTATCCAGAGGTTTGTCAGCTGCTTGCCGAACTCAGTGGGTGTTCCACCCCAGTCAAACTCCGCCAGATCCAGTATCACAAAATTCTTGTGGATGTCCTGCAGGACGGCCTTCCGCCTTGGATACGCACCATGCCAGATGGCAAACAACTGGATGTCCATGTCCTCACCAATGTGTCGACTGCCATCAAGAATGCGGCGCGCCAACACGGCAAATGAATCATCCGTCACTAACTGCGGTGGTTTTTCTTCGTGAACTTGCTCCTCTACGTCTACATTGTTTAGTTCCTCATTTGCCACTGTCTCAGCAGGTGATATGCCCTTCGGAACGATTAGATGGATGCACCACACAGCCAGCAGCACCAGCAAAATGAGAAGGGGAAGGAGTAATGGGGCAGCGCCGTACCTGCGCCGAAAGGTTTTTCTTCTCATCGTCGGAAGCTGCATATACAAGCTAGAGTGAGAGAAGCGAAAGAGGCAGCCGGGTCAGCACTAATAATACCTTCACATAGACGCACTCCAACAATTCCCTCGGATTGCAAATCACAGACACACACACACAGGCACCCGTGCATGCAAACACGCAAACTCATTCAGTTACTGCCCGCCAGGGAAGCTCGCGAGTATCTTTTCTCCGTCCTTCACAAGCGGGGCGATCTTCCGTATCGTCTTCTTCATATCGAGCGGCGCATCCTCCGTCACGTCCGGCATATGCCTGTTGAGGTTGGCACTGCCGTCGTAGTCCATACCCTTCAGCCGAGCCTTGTAGAATCGCGCCCGCGCATCCACACGGTCCCATGTTCCCTCCACGTCATCCGCGTCAAAGCCTTCGCTCGCATCGCGCTCGGCGTCCTTCTGGCCGCTTTGTATCTTCTGCTTCAGCCACATATCGTTGATTGGCTGCCCGGCATCCTGCAGCGCCTTCATCTCTTGCAACACCCCATAAACGTTCTGGAACTGCTGTTTATAACCGGTGTAATCCTTCGCGATATGATCCATGCTACTCGACGCGCCTCCACGCGGCAGCGACGATGGTGATGACATTCCAGCGGCGTAGTCACCGCCGAGGGGACCGGTGCCAGCTGTTTGTTCCACTGAAGCTGCGGTTAAGTCACGCGGTGGTGACGGGCGCCGCTCCTCCGTCGTCCCCGCCTCGGCGCGGTGCCTTTCGCACTCCTCAAAGTGACGCATGGTCTGCTCCATACGATCCTGCAGCAGTCTTGCGTCGAGTAGCTGCGGTGTGAACTTCCACACCTGTACGCTGAGCCGCATGTCTGGCTCCACCACGCGTCGGATACCCGATTCACCCACAAAAGTATGTGTTTCGCTCGGTTGTTCGCCGAAGCGCCAGCCCCAGCGCGCCTCACCCGAACAGCGCAACAGCGAGCGCTGTGGCAGCAGGACGTGGCCGCGCCGCCCTGTCGACTCATCGTCAAACGTCAGGACCGTGTCGGACAGCAGCGAGAGGTACAGAAAGCAGCAGCCAACGGTCGGGTGCTCAATGTGCATCTCGTAGCCAGGGAGGTTGTGCTCCACCACACGTGCGGTGTCCGGCATGGCGCCAAGCAGCGGCTGTGCAACATCTTGCAGCATTGCCATCAACGTCGGGGACCACGTGAGGCCGGGGAGCCGCCGCACCTCCTTTCGCTGCCAACTCTTCACCTCTGTGAACTGCTGATCCCCGTGCATCTCCAGGTACGTGTGCTTCACCACCTTATTCTGCGGCGTCGAGTTCTCCAGCAGCACCTTCTGGCCCTCCCGCTCCAGCACGAGATTTAGCTCGTTCCAGATGCGCTCCTCGTTGCGGGCACTCACGACGTTGCGGTACACGTCTACACGCCCCACACCGGGCGCCAGAGCCACCAGTGAAGGGTCCGGCGAGAGGCGCGAAAAGCACAGCCGGTTGAGCCTCCACATCCTAGGCAAAGCAAGCAGAGAGAGAAACAAAAATGGAATATAATCATGGCGACGTTTTGCATGTTTACAAGACAAGCTCACACGCACAGATTCACCTTATCAAAGCCCACACCAGATTTCACCAGAAAGTGCAAGATCACTGAAAAATGAGTGAAAATAACGAAAGCCCAGGCACAGACATATAAAATTGCTTAAAAAGATCCATATATTCCTAGATACTATACATTAAAAACGGTTCTCTGTCGTGCGGTGGCATGGCGCAAAAGGAAAGATGTATACAACACCTGGAACGTTCCAAAGGAAATGAATGAATGCAATTCAGTCACCTAAAAAAGGAAAAAAGATCAGAATATACATCATGCCTTGTATTAATGAGATATTCAAAAACAAGCAGGCCCAATTCGTAAATACATTACTGATCTATTTGTGCTATTGTTTATACCAGTAGCCCTCATCCTCTCTCGCACGAAGCATCCGCAGTGCTTCGACGGGCTTACAGATCACACGGTTTGCCTCCTCAAGGCCCCTCAGCAGCTTAGCGAAATTGGCCGACACTCCATCCTCCATCCAAATGTCCACATACGACGTGTCCGACGCGTCAGACACACTCACTTCGCATAGCTCCAAGACACAGGAACCATCCGGATCATGCCATGAGTCTGGGTCCGTGGTGTTCGGTTCGACCCCGCACTCATCAGCAGCGGTAGGTAGTACCTCTTCATCTTCACCACGTCCATAGTGCATCACTTCTTCCTGTGTACCCTGATTTTGCTCCTTATTATACGATTTATTCTTCTGCGCAAGCCCATTATCCTCCTGCGAAACATAATAACCCTCATTTTCTTCCTTATTATCATAGGTGATTTTCTCATCCTCCTTATCATCACACTCCCTATTATCCTCTCCATCACGATTTCCCTTTTTTTCCTTCAGTTCATCATTCATCTTCACTGCCTCACTATTAATGTCTTCTCTGCCCTCAGCTTTCGAAGCCTTTTCATCAGCGTCCGGTTGCGCAAGTGGTGCCTCTCCGCAGCCTGCTGCATCACAAGTTATGCGCGACTCGCAGGTATCAGCCGCTGTTAGCTGGTCAATCGCTGAAACATTAGAGATAACCTCTTGGGGTGTGTGGAGAAGAGGCTTATGGCTCCACCCAAGCAGCAAATCGCCGTTTTCATCCAGCCGCATATGCAATCCCTCAGTGTTCTCTCTGAGCCGCGCAGCCTCTCGCGCCACCTTCCTGGAGCCGCTGTCCACCAGACCCTCCATCGGCAGGGTCAACCACAGCTCAGAGGGGTTTCCTGCGTCAGCAAATGGCGGTGTGGTCGATGCCATCCACTCACCAGCCTCCATTGAATCATCAATGCTCTCGTCGACTTCGCGAGACACGAAGCTGTGCTCAGTCGAGGACCACACATGTGAATCTGAATAGTCCACCGTCTCAGCGGCCCGTGATGAATTTACAAAAGATGATTGAGGGATCATCTCACTTTGTGTCAACAGCGTCCTATTATTATCATCCTCAGAAGCAACGCTTAACAATCCGTCAGCATGGTCTCTATTAAACATCCGCCCAACACGCGAGTCATCCTGTCCATCATCCACCACAACCTCCCGGCTTCCACCCGCACTCTTCAAAGCACCGCGCTGGACCATTGCAGAACGAGGCAAGCACCAACTATCCATTTCCGCCTTTCTCATCGCAGCAGCAAAAGCATCTTCATCAGCCACACGAGATTTCCGTGAGGGCAGATTCCAACTCTCCATCTCGTCATCAACCCTTGGCATCGCACAGGTCAAATCACCAGACGCCATTATATCATTAACACGACTTATTGGAGCGGTCACAGCACGGGATGCATCACTGCGGCCACCGTCCATCTCAGCCTCCTGGAGACGTGGTGCGCCCAGTGACCCGCTGGTCATCCGACGCTCGTCGCCCCGAACAGAAGCAGCGCTAGCGGCACGAGAAGGAAGAGGCCACTCACTCATCTCAGCCTCCTGGAGAGGTGGTGCGCCTAGTGACCTGCTGGTCATCGGACGCTCGTCACCAGACACCACAACGACACTGGCTGCACACGGAGGGAGGCGCCAATAACTCATTTCAGCCTCCTGGGCAGAGAGAAATACGACGGACCGGCCCCTTGCAAAGCGGCCCTGCCCATCTTTAGAAATAAATGAGGTCACAGAAGACACAGCGCTTCGGCAACCATCCATCTCAGCCTCCTGGAGAGGCGGTGCACCCAGCGACCTGCGGGCCATCGGACGNTTTAGAAATAAATGAGGTCACAGAAGACACAGCGCTTCGGCAACCATCCATCTCAGCCTCCTGGAGAGGCGGTGCACCCAGTGACCTGCGGGCCATCGGACGCTCGTCACCAGACACCACAACGACACTGGCTGCACACGGAGGGAGGTGCCAATAACTCATTTCAGCCTCCTGGGCAGAGAGGAATACGACGGACCGGCCCCTTGCAAAGCGGCCCTGCCCACCTTTAGAAATAAATGAGGTCACAGAAGACACAGCGCTTCGGCCACCGTCCATCTCAGCCTCCTGGAGAGGTGGTGCACCCAGTGACCCGCTGGTCATCGGACGCTCGTCGCCCCGCACAGAAGCAGCGCTGGCGGCACGGGATGCAACACTGCGGCCACCGTCCATCTCAGCCTCCTGGAGAGGTGGTGCACCCAGCGACCTGCGGGCCATCGGACGCTCGTCACCAGACACCACAACGACACTGGCTGCACACGGAGGGAGG